TAGCTGGGATTCTGGGAAGGATTCTGGAGTCTCTAGTGACACTCTCTCAGCAGAGCCTAGTGACGCACACCTATAATCCCAGCACTAGGGAAAGAGACATAAGGATTGCCTCAAATTCAAGTCTACAGAGCAAATTCTAGGAAAACATGGGTACATAGCAACACCTCCTTCCTTCTGCCCCTGCCTCCACCCATGGCCAAACATGAGAGGCTATCTGCTCATGCTCACTGTGTGAGCTCCACTTCGACCTGCACGGGGGGTCCCCAAGTCTGTAGCCTAAGCATCTCCTGTAACAAGCCCCCAGACCACAGCACAACTGACTCCATGATAAAAGTACCACTCAGGCCATAAAACTCAGCATGTAAACAGTATCACCCGACAGGACAAAAACAAAGGCCAAAGCCACCAAAGTCTGGGAAAGTCACTATAAACATACTGACCTTGCTTTTTTGGCTTCTGTTGTTCTGCTTCTGGTTAACTGTTCTTGTTAACTGAAGTTTGTCAACCCAGGATATCATTTTTTTTTGTGCTTCAAAGTTCACCCTGAGAAACAGTCGGTGCTGCGCTGGAATCCCTAACACCCAGTGTAGTTGTCAGCCAGCTAGTAAAGACTTTCTGTTGTCTTAAACCCATGCCCAAGCCATCTTCTCTGGTGGATAGTCCACAAACAACACTCCCCAAAGAAGCCTTTGTCTCTTTGGCCTGGGTGCTTTTGTTCTCTCTCTCTCTCTCTCTCTCTCTCTCTCTCTCTCTCTCTCTCTCTTTCTGGAAACAGGGTCTCACTCTGTAGCTCTGTGGACTCTTATTCTGACTCAGGCAGCAAATGACCTTGCAGGTGTAATTTTTAAGGGGGAGAAAAGGAGCGGTCTGTGTTACAATGGGCTAGGATGTGGTGGTAATGGAGCTAGAGGATGAGGGAGAAGGGGAAGGGAACTAGGGAAGGGGGAAGGGGTATTTGTCCTGGAGGAACAAAGGACTGCCTCAGGATAGAGGGGAGAGACAGACATGGCAGAGGGAAATGGGGAGGGCAAGGCCTGCCAGAGCCACATTTTCAAGTGAGCTAGTGTCCCTTCATTATGTATTCTAGGCCCCCTCAACTCCTGATCTTCCGGCCTCTACCTCTTGAGTAGAATACAGGGGTGCACCACCATGTCTGGCTTATGTGGTACTGGGGATTGAACCCAAGCCTAAGAAATTGCTATGCAATTAACTGTATTAATTACCTTGTTCAGTCAACATTTATTGATAACTTACATGTCAGGAGTGGGGGTGAGGGCTGAAGAAGATGAGATCACTGAGCAAATGTAGTGGTGTGTAAGCTTATTGTGTAACGGTTTCTTCGGATATTGAAACATTCCATCCTACATGGAAGCTCCTTGAGCAGGAAGGTAAACAAAGCAACTTGAGGAAGTCCCTGAAACTGTCCAGATTCACTAGGCCCCTCCCTGCCAGAATAAACACTAAACACTGGGTCCCTCTCAGAGGGAGCTCAGCTGAGCTGTAAAGAAGACTCTCAGACAAGCCAAGCTACAAAGACTCTGAGACCAGACCAGCCGCCTGGAAGAAGTAAAAAAACGGTTGAGCTACTTGGAAAGGACAGCCGTGTGCTCCCGATTCCCAGCTTCCGTGAGCTGTCACCCATGCTGGGGTGGGCTTTGGTGATGCAGCTGTCTTTGAGTCATTTCTGCTCCTGTAAGTAACCCCAATAAAACTCATGGTTCACCAAGTTGGACATCGGTGGTATTCATACTTTGGTCTGGCTTAAGCTCCCTATCTGTGTGTTGATTCTCCCCAGAAAAAGTTTCATCCCACAACCCCTGCAATTGGAGGTGAAGGATCAGATGTTGAAGGTCATTCTTGATATACAGGAAATTCAAGATCAGCCTGGGCTCCTGTCTCAAAAGAACAAAACCTGTAGCCAGAAGAACAGCATGGGATGAAAAGCATGAACCCTGGGATGCAGGGAGCAGAGAGTTCTTCTTTCCTCATTTCTCCATGTTCTTGCCAGACCTCCCCTCCAGCTCTCTGCCCTCACCCTTGGCAGATGCTCTGGGTTTCACTTGGAGCCAAATAGTTAGATGGCTGCTTCAACTCTGGCTTGTCGTAAATGGAGCCAAACACTGAGAAGGTGCCATCCTTAACCAATGAATCACTTCAGTAAGAAAACATGACGGGGGGAGGAGGGTGTCTGCAAATGCACCCCCACCACCCATGCTAAAACATGGATTGCAGAATTTAATGTAGGGCAGCTGATGAGCCAATGGATGAGTTAATGAATCAATAAGAGTGATCACTCAGTCTTGAAGGAAATCTTGAACTGTAGAGGTTCCTGGTGTTTTGTTATGGTTCAGGTCTTGGTCTTTTGTAGTAGGGCCTCACGCTGTAGCACAGGCTTGACTGGAACCTACTGTATAACTCAGTCTTGAACTCGAGGCAATCCACTTGAGTGTTGAGATTAAAGGTGTGTGTCCCTGTGCTTGGCTGAATTTGAGGACTAATGCTTAGGTTGTCCATTGGATATTGTTCTTTTGTTTAAATTACAAATGCATGATCTCGATGGAACTTGAACCAAGAGATTCATTAACCATGGATTTTATTACGGGGCGGGGAGGGGAGCGACAGGGGGGGAAGAGAAAGAGACAAAGGGAGGGAGGGAGGGAGGGAGGGAGAGAGAGATGAAGAGGGTAAGAGAAGAGAGAGTAAGAGCAGAAAGATCAGTTAAGACAGCGTAAGTGGGCAGGGTCTGTCTTTTAAAGGGGTCCTTTGCACCTGTGTGCAGACTAGCACTCATGGAACCCTGAACTGACCAGAGTACTGCCTGAGTACATTATGCCAGGTAACAGAGGCAGGCCAGCATAATGCCTGAATCCTTACAAATACAACATTCTCTAGAAAGTTCTATATAAAGTTTTTTAACTTTATTTTTTAAAAAATGTGTTTGATTTCACTCAGTTTTGAAGGCTGAGGCCAATACATAATGTAGGTCTTTCAAAGGGTCAAAACTGTTTGTGGGTACATGGTCTACGAGTTGTTTTAAAAACTTGTGCCTTTAGTTGGGCAGTAGTGGCACACACCTTTAATCCCAGAACTTTGGTTTTTCAAGACAGGGTTTCTCTGTCTTTTTAGACCAGGCTGGCCTCGAACTCACAGAGGTCTGCTTGCCTCTGCTTCCTGAGTGCTGGGATTAAAGCCATGCACTACCATTGCCCAGTGAGTTGTAGTGTTTTGTGCTAGGGTTATATGTAGGAGTTTAAGAAAGAGCTGGTGTAGAGCAGGAGTGAGATGCACACTAAGTTGCTAGTCCAGGGCTTTCTGCAGGACTTATGGCAGAAAAAGGGCAAGCATTAGGACATGGCTGGCCAGTCCAGCTAACTGACCTGCACGGTGACCAGGTGCCTCTCAGCTTTCGTCAAATCTTCATTTATAGTTTCTCAGTGCTCATTTAGGTTGTGTCAGAGGCAGGAAAAATAACGACAAACCTGAGAAGTCACAGGTCCCTCCTGGCATTCATGGCCTCTAATCAAGACAAAACCAAGGGCACGTCAGGCTTCTAACCAAAAAAAACGAATTAGGGACTGAGAGATGGCTCAGCGGGCAAAGATGATTTGCAACCGTGCCCACCTGAGTTTGATCCTTGCAACACACATCCAGGTGGAAAGAAAGGACCCACTCCACAGAGTTGTCCTCCAGCCTCTGCGTATTTTCTGGCACATACACCCACACTCACTAATAATAATTTATTTTAAAAAGCAGTTAAAACCACTAGCTTGCAGGGTCCCTGCACTAAAACTGCATGGCCAGTTTCCAACTTGCTATTCTCATCACTAGCATAAAATCCTTCATGTTATCTTCAGCCATGTTCTCCTATTATAATAGTTTGTGTAGGGTAAAAAGTCCAAGCTCACGTCCAGGTTTTGAAAACCCACCAATCCCCTAGCTCACCCAAGTTCGGGACTTGAAATCCCACCAATCCCCACCCTTGAAAGCTCCACCGCCCCCCAAAACCCTTTATAAACCTGCCTCCCACTCAGTTCTCTGCTGCTGCTTTCCCAAGCAGAGGTCTTGTGTCTTTCCCAATAAATCTCATGTGAGGTTTGTTGTGCTGTGTGACTTTGTGGTATTCCTTGGCTTCCAACCGCCAGAATACCTTTACCCTCAGAGCTGCAACACTGCTATTGGGGAAAACGATGTAACACTTACATTTTGGAAGAATTTTTTTGTGGCATAAGTATGTACAACTCAAAATTTGACATTTCAACCATACAATTCATTGACAATAACTTCATTCACAATATTGTGTAGCTGTGACCTCTTTTGTCCAAACCTTTTTATCAACGTTACTAGAAACCCTGTAATCGTTAAGCAATGACTCACTGCCTCCCTGGGCCCCAGTCTCATGTCTACCTTTCCTATCTTAGTGCGGTTGCCCATTAGATAATTCTCGTAATTGGAATCATGCAATGCTTATCTTGTTCTGTCTGCCTTTTTTTTTTCAATTAGTTCAATGCTTTCAAAGCTCAGCATGTTGTAGTGTACATCAGTAATTCATTCCTTTTTTTAGGGCTAAGTAATATTTCACTTTGTGTTTGCCAATTCATCTTTTGATGGTCACAGGTTGCTTTTAATTGGCTGAAAGTTTTGAGATGCACTTGAGAAAACAGCTGCCTGGGAAATTTCAGAAGGGGACTGAGTGACCTCCTATTTATATAAAGGGAGATGGTCCAAGTTCCTCACACCAGCCTTTTGAGACAACTTGGATCTTGGAGAGAAAGATTTGGAGAAGGCAATGTATTCTGGGACTTCTCAATTCACCATCAGGTCAACCACCATTAATCACTATCTGGAAAGTTTTCAGAGAATCAAATCACTGTGTTGAATCCCCAGTGCAGTGTCCCTGGAGAGAAGGCATAGGGAACCCTCAGATGGTGCAGACAGTCACCCCCCACCCTAGCTGCTATGTAAGGGGGAGTGTTGTGTTACAAGGACAGCATGAACTGAGGGACAAGAGGAGGTCATGCAGCCTCAGTGCCTGACGCTCTTCACAGGTCTTTAAAGGCTCCCTGGTTCTCTGAGATAAACTGGCTGAAGCTTCTGATTTTGGGGTTTAGACGGTGGGTAAGCTTGATGTCACGGTCAGGCTTCATGTGGTAGAAGCGAAACATGCTGGCCATTTCCTCCACTCCAGGGAAACCCATCTTCTCAAAAGCTTCTAGGGTGATCTTTTAAGAAAAAAGGAAGGAAGCAGTAAACGTTATGGTTTGCAATAGTTTTACATATTCATCTCAGTAGTGAGGCAGGCCCACACTCTAACTCCAGGATCTTAGGAACTCTGAAGTCCCTCTGCACACAGCTTGTCAGGAAACTGACGGATGAACTAATTGGATGGTAAATTCTGATCCAAACTACATGAAACTATTTATAGTCTTTAAGTGTGGCATTCAGCGGAAATAGGCAAGTACTTCTCTGCTGAGTTGTTGATGCCCTTGCTGGTGGTGTCACTCCCATGTGCCAGCTGAGGATGTGAAGGCTCAGCTGTCTTAGGTACCAGGCACCTGGATAAAGAAGATCTGAGCATCTTCAGAGTGCTTCGCCTGCTTTTCCTCAGATTCCCCCAGCAGCCCCTAGGATAGTTGTCCCTCCTGGCTACTTAGGCATTAGCCCCCACTCATGCTGGCCCTTTACTCAGCTGGTTTCCCATCCATTTCCTCCTCTTTGTGGTTAGAGGATCAATTTTGCTTTTTCCCCTTCAATCATTCTAGCCTCTGCCAGGACCAGGCAGGCCCAAACAACAACGGAGCACATCTCATGCTTACTGAGATGTCGTCTGTCCTTGAAGAAATGGGTATCCTCTCTAATAGCTGATTAGTATAATCTGCCCTCCCTGCAGAAAGGAACTGTGAACTTACAGCTCCACTTTTTTCTCAATTTAAAAAATTTGCATGTATTTATGTATGTGTGTATATATGTACATACAGATATATGTATACTCACAGACTTGTGTGTGTGTATGAGAGCGTGAGTGTATGTGTAACACCAGTGTGGGGGGGCAAGACTCACAGCAGTCCTCCAAGAGCTGGAACAGGAGTTTCCATTATTAGAAATGCCATGTGATAAGGGCTGGAGAGATGGCTCAGTGGTTAAGAGCACTGACTATTCTTCCAGAGTTCCTGAGTTCAATTCCCAGCATCCACCTGGGAATTGAAGAGAACAACCTGCAGCAGTCAGGTCTCTCCTGCCACTCTATAAATCCAGGGGATCAAACTCAGGTCAGCAGCGTCATTATCAGCTATCTCCCCTGAAAAAGCTGTCTCACTGCCCTTCACTTGTTCTTAGAAAAATGTGTGAGGCTGGGCAGTGGTGGTGCACTCTCCTCTAATCCCATCACTTGGGAGGCAGAGGCAGGCAGATCTCTGTGAGTTCGAGGCCAGCCTGATATACAGAACAAGTTGTGGGACAGCCAGGGCTATGTAGAGAGACCCTGTCTCAAAGGAAAATAAAGAAAGAAAAGAAAAGAAAAATGTAAGTGAGAAATAAAAATGCATGGACAACCACAATTGTGTGGCTTCTGTGTCTTGAGAACCCGCATGCAAACCTCGATCAGCCTGGCAATAAACTGCCTCCAAATTCAAAATAGATCCATGATTATCACTTGGCATTTCTTTTTTTTTTAAGGGAATTTTTTTTAGATTTTATTTATTTATTAATGTATACAACATTCTGCTTCCATGTATATCTGCACACCAGAAGAGGGCCAGATCTCATAACGGATGGTTGTGAGCCACCATGTGGTTGCTGGGAATTGAACTCAGGACCTCTGGAAGAGCAGCCAGTGCTCTTAACCTCTGAGCCATCTCTCCAGCCCCCAGCATTTCTTTTTTAAAATAATTTATTTAACCTTTATTTTATGTGCACTGGGGTGAAGGTATCAGATCCCCTAGAACTAGAGTTACAGACAGCTGTTAGCTGCCATGTGGGTGCAGGGAATTGAACCTTGGTCTTCTGGAAGAATAGTCAGTGCTCTTAACCGCTGAGCCATCTCTCCAACCCCTATCACATGACATTTCTAATAATGGAAATTCCTGTTCCAGCTCCTGGAGGACTGCTGTGAGTCTGAGGCTGGTCTGTGTTATACAGTGAGTTCCAGGTCATTGTCTCAAAGAAATAAAAAACAGCAAAGGAGAAAAGAAAGACAATGCAAGAGCAACTTACTTGTCCATCAGCAGAACAATAAAAATTGGTTATCATATTAATATATTTGAAGAAGTTTAGCAAAACAGAAAAATGTTCATAACATTGAGTGAAATGTCACTGAACGTTGTTTTAAATATAGATAAATACAGATGTCACATATAACGGAAAAGGAATGAAATAAACCAGCAGATCTTACTTGTTATCTCTGAGAGATTAAACTGGGTGGGTTTTATTTTCTTTTTCTAGTTTTGTTTTTACTGAGACAGGGTTTCTCTGTGTAACAGCTCTGGCTGTCCTGGAACACGCTCTGGAGACCAGGCTGGCCTCAAACTCACAGAGATCCGCCTGCCTCTGCCTCCTGAGTGCTGTAATCCAAGGCAGGTGCCACTGCTGCCTGGCCATTTTCTTTTTCATAATTGTTTCAGTTACTGTAATACGAATTTATTATTTTTGAAATTAGAAAAATAAGTGTTAGAGACATAGCTCAGTGATTAAGAACACACACTGTTCTTACAAAAGCCCTGACTGGTCTCAGAACTCCCACTGAGCCATTCTTCTGACTTCCTCGGGCACCCTCGTGCATGTGAACATACAAACACATGACACACATAAATAAAAATTTTTGTTTGTTTTTTGTTTTTCGAGACAGGGTTTCTCTGTGGCTTTGGAGGCTGTCCTGGAACTAGCTCTTATAGACCAGGCTTGTCTATAAGATCCCAGGAGTGCTGGGATTAAAGGCGTGAGCCACCACCACCAGCTAATAAAAATTTTTAAAGAAATATTATTTTTTTAATTAGAAAAATATTTAAAACTTTGAGTTTAGAAACAGAATAATTTGTTAGAAGCATGATCTTTCTCTTTAAGTCACGTTGTCATCTGGTAACTATGACAACTAATAAATCTCATAAAATAGGGATCTATTGCTAAAGATTTTTAAAGGATTTTTGAAATCTGTTCTCTTACAACTCACTTTCTGAGGGTTCCATGTTTCCCCGAGGGTTGGGCAGACAGTTCAGGCAGCCCTGAACAACTGGTGAGAGTTTGGTTTTGGTAGGCCTTGCTTACTGTGAATCGGTGAGTCCCACAGGCTCCCTCTTACTAGATAGGTTGGGCAGGTTAGAGGCCAAAAGGTACCAAACTGGGAGTGCTGGAGCGCCACCTTGTGGCTAGATGCATCCTTCCCAAAATCAACATAATGCCTAAGTGTTTTGCTACCTGGGGGCAAATGTAGGCTTGTCTTCAAGACAGACTAGTATTAACCATCAAGACAGAGCTGTATTAACCATCCTGTAGAATTTCCAGCCCCTCGTGCCTGGAATTTTTGGAGCTAGAAAACCCTCGATTGCCTAAGAAAGCAAATAAATGTTCCAAGAACAGCCAGGACCCAGGAATCCATCTAAAATGCTTGGACGATCTGGAGCCATCCAAAATTGTGTTTACTTGATCCCGTAGAATGAATATACCATGCATCCCATTAATCATATGCCTTCCCTTTTCTCTGTCTCTTCTGAATACAGGTCAAACCATCAAGACAAAAAGAAAACAAGACCCATGAGACAGACCATTGGGAAATATATTTATGCCCAAGACCCTACAAGACCTCTCATGAGCCTGCCTTTGAGAGGAAGACTGCCTTCTTAGTCTTGGAAGAACTTACTTCCTCTATGAAATTTTGTGTGGTTTCAAAGATACCCTAGTTTCAAAATAATATAGCTGTTTTATTTTGCTTTGGGTTTTGTTTCTTTGTTTTTCAAGACAGGGTCTCTCTGTATAGCCTTGACAGACCTGGAACACATTGCAGACCAGTCTGGCCTTGAACTCATGGAGATCCTTGAGCCCCTGCCTGTTGGGATTAAAGGTGTGCACCATCACACCTGGCCGAAAATATAGTTGTTTTATGTCTTGATTGGCACATATCATGGTTTTTCCAGAATAAAATATCTATTAGTGTCCTCATACCTCTAACACCTAAGATGAATTGAAAGTCCAAACAACCACTAGCCCTTTACCCTTCTCCCCCAGCCAAATGACTCACTACACCAAGAGCTGCTGACAAAAACAACCTACCTTCCATTTCTGAGGGCAGTGGGGATATTCAAGAACTGGGGTTAGTACACTTTCTTTTTTGTTTTTGTTTTTGTTTTGTCTGTGTAGCCCTGGCTATCCTGGAACTCACTCTGTAGACCTGGCTGGCCTTGAACTCACAGAGACCCACCTGTCTCTGCCTACCAATGCTGGGATTAAAGTTGTGGGCCACCACTGCCAGGCTTCAACAAACTTTCTTTTGGGGTATGATGTTGAGACATGGTCTCACTCAACAGCTCAGGCTGCAACTCACAAAGCTCCTCCTTGCCCCTACATCCCAGTTCTGGGATTGCAGGAGTATGAGCCACCATGCTGGGATTACAGGAGTGTGAGCCACCATGATGATGTGATTGGTTTAATTGTCAATTCAACACAATCTAGAACCACCTAGGAAGTGCATCTCAATGACAGATTGTCTAGGTTAATTTGGCCTGTGGGTGTGCCTGTGCCCACCTTAACTGGGTTGGTTGAAGTGGAAAACTCACCATGAATGAAGGAAGGCAGCCATTTCATTGGCTGGGCCCTGGACTGAATGAAAAGGAAAAAGCAAGCTGGGCACTAGCATGCATGAATTTGTTGCTTGTTTTGAGTCCCCCACCACCATGTCTTCCCAGCAATGCTGGACTGTACCCTGGAATTGTGAGCGAAATGCATCCTTTTTCCCTTAAGTTGCTTTTGTCAGGCGTTTCTATCACTGCAGTAGGAAACAAAGTGAAGACACCCAGGCTAGATCAACTGTCTCTTCAATACTGCAGGATTCTGTGGGTCATACCATTTCTGTTGCAATTGTTTGGCTCGGTCATTACACCATCAGCAACGCCTCTCCCATCCCCCACCCCATCACACCTGTGTGGGGAAATGATGCCAATCCTTCCCACTTGTATGTAAAGTGCTGTCCTTGCCACACTTTGACCAGACTTCTCCCATGGGACTCATGACAATGCTGTTACTGTGGGCTCGCTAAGTGTCTGCAAGAGTCTTCAAGCTCATTCCTTTTTTTTTTTTTAAGATTTACTTTATTATTGGTGTGTATGTGTGTGTGTGGGTGGGTGTGTTTGAGGGTGCCCAAGGAGGACAGAAGGGAATGTGGGGTCCCCCAGAGCTGGAGTTACAGGTGGGTGTGAATAGTCACACTACAGCTCTCTTGAAAGAACAACATCAAGACTCTTAACCACTAAGCCAACCCTCCGGCCCAGAAACCCATTTCTTGCATGAAGCATCCATCCTCTTGGCACCTACAGGACTGATAGTTGGGATGACATAGGCACAATGATCATCATCATTGTGACTCTGTGTCCCAACATTTTCACTCTGATTGTACTATAAATTGCTCAAAGTTAGCACTGGGCACATAGTACTTGATATATCCCTACTGTGTGCTGATCACTAAGGTAGACTGTAAATACATCCTGTACCATTTTCACCAGGGCACTCTGAAGTGGACACTGTAGTGCCAATGTACAAGTGAGGAAGCTGAGGAGAGAGACTAAAATGCCTGTGTGCCCCGCTCCCCCCTGCACCCGCTTCCCCTATCCTCAAGGAGAGCCAATGCAGGGAGGTGGAACAGTACAGGTGAGAAAAAGTTGTACCTTGATCTTCAGATTCTAAATTCCTTCCACATAAGAGTAATTTAGTTTACTTAATGAGCCAATTAACCTGAAGCCAGAGAATAAAGCCATAGAGGAGGTAAAGGCTTGTTAGCACTCTCTTCGATTTCTTCTGAGAGTACAGTCTGGGTTCACCCCCCTAAAATCCACCAATAAATCTAATGAATTCATAGATGCTAACTGAGGTAGCATCCTGTGGTCACACTGATCACCAAAGAATTCACCTTTGGAGCCAGGTGTGATTGTGCTGCAATCCCAGCAAGGGGGAGTCTGAGGAGGCTGGGTATTTATTTCAAGCTTGAATGGTAGCCTGTGCTACCTAAACCCTGTCCTGGGCCCTGAGATTGCTCAGCAAGTAAAGGCTCTTGCCACCAAGCCCAACAACCTGAGCGTAACCCGTGAGCCACATGTGGCAGAAGGTGAGAAGTGACTTCTACAGGTTGTCCTCTGACACTCACACACACACAGTATGGCATATGCATGTACACACACCTACATAAAACAGATGAATAATTTTTGTTGTTGTTTTTGTTTTTCGAGGCAGGGTTTCTCTGTGGCTTTGGAGGCTGTCCTGGAACCAGCTCTTGTAGACCAGGCTGGTCTCGAACTCACAGAGATCCACCTGGCTCTGTCTCCCGAGTGCTGGGATTAAAGGAGTGAACCACCACCGCCTGGTCAGATGAATAATTTCTAAAAATGAAAAAGAATGCAAACCCTGTCTCAAACAACCAAGGGACTCACCTTTGCATCCCGGATGTCCTTCCCCAGAGTCTTGGACAAAATGTCAGCATACTGCTGTATTGTCAGGGCCTCTGCACTGAGACCCACAGCCTTGCCTACAAACTCCTCTGGAGAAGCAAAGATGCTAGAGACGACTGCTCCAACGTCAGCGACAGAGATCCCATCCATTGGTACATCCCCCATGGGCAGTGCTAGTTTCAAAAACAAATAAAAACATAAGTTATAGTACCACATCCTTGACAGGTTCCTTCACCCCGAGCTAGTCACTCCATCAAATCTAACCACTTGAACAAGGGGTGTGAAAAGCAGCTGCTATTGGAAAGGGGGGGTGGGGGAGGGGGAGCAGCCCTCAGAAGGCAAGAGAGACATAGAATCATGCAGCCACTAGCTCTCACCAGATCACAAGAATTGGGGGCACCTTAGGAAAAGCCAGTTATTCCCATAGTAGAGACTGAATATTTGGGATCCCGTACGGGAGTAGCTATTGCCTCTTCACCCAAGGCTACTACTCTAACCCACAGATTACTGACTCTGCAGCCTGTGCTGGAACAGGCTGGGGACCCGTCTCCTGGGAGATTTTGGTTCCTGGAGACTAATTGATAATGGGATCCTGTCCTCGCTTGCTGAAGGTCAGATAAGCCAGAAAGGACTCTTAGTGGTTCCCAAGAGACACGAGGAAGCTGAAGCTTAGGGACACAGAGACAACTACACATACAGGGAATGTCAGCATCTTGGGCTGGAAAAGTAACCTGTATGCTTTCCAGACCTGGTCCTATCTTGGCCTTTATGGGTGTGGCTGCCATGAGGAAGTCTAGGACAGTTCAGTGGCCCTCGAAACAGGACCCACAGAGCCAAGAACACCAGTGTGTCCACTGAAAGGGGCAGGAAAGGGGAAATGGAGGGGAAACAGGAGGGAATGAAGGGGGCAGGAAACCAGCTCAACCTTCACTGCAACCTGGCATTTACCTAGGGTGTAGTGGCCCTCAGAGGTTTTCACTGGCTTCCACAGAGTGAGGAAGTTTTCAAAGTAAGCTGCCAGGCGGACGCTGGTCATGGGGACACCAATGGACCAGAAATACTCCTCCACTTCCCCCTTCCCGTCAAAGTGCAGCACCTTCAGCTTCCCCCCAGTCAACCGATCCACATTCTCCAAGCCGCTGTACACCACGTGTTTCAGGCCCAGGCGCTTGGCCACATCTGCCACCAGCTTTCCCTGAGGGATGAAATTCAGTCCTTTTCACACAAATATACATTTATATATATATATCTTTTTCTGATATCTGCACACCATTTGAATTTTGTGGGCAAAATGGAAGAATACATACAAACATAAATGTATATTTTCTCACTCTCCTCTCCTTCCCCTCCTCCTCTTCCCCCTACCTGGGTTATGGATTCTCTCTTTTGTTTTTAGTTTTAAATTTCCAACTCTCCCTTCTCCGCCTCTCTCCCTCTCTGCAATCTCACTTTTATAAAACCTCACATAGCAGTCAGAAGTGAAGCCAAGAAGTAATGAATAGCCTTAGGCTCAAGTTTTGTGTGTGTGTGTGTGTGTGTGTGTGTGTGTGTGTGTGTGTCTACTTATGTGTGTATGTGTATGTGTGTGTACATCCATATATATGAGTGAGTGAGTGAGTGAGTGTCAGAATTAGAATTCAAGAAATACGACACATGGTAGTGCACGCCTTTAATCTGAGCACTTTTGAGACAGAGGCAGGCAAATCTCTGAGTTTAGGGTGAGCCTAGTCTACAGAGTGAGTTCCAGGACAGCCAGAGCTACACAGAGAAACCCTGTCTCGAAAAACAAACAAAGAATTCAAGAAATACTTCAAGGGGTGGGGGCAGGTAGGGAAACTGGGCCTCCTGGCACAGTCCTGAATTCCAAACTACTTGGGAGCCTGTGGCAGAAGATCACACAATCAAAGTCTTCCTAGGTGACAGATTGAATTAAGCTAGCTTGAGCAACTTGGTGAGATCCTGTATTAAAATAAAAAGTAAAAAAAAAAAAAAAAAAAAAAAAAAAAAAAAAAAAAAAAGAGGCTGAGGATGGAGTTCAGTGGCAGAGCCCCTGGCACACTCCCTCCCAGAACTTAATATGGGGCCATCCCAAAATTAATTTGGCAAACATTAAGTGGCATGCCCAATTCAATAAGCATTCCCAGGACAACTCTGCCCTGTATTGACTTTTCTGAATTTTGTCATTTCTTCAAGTAACTGATGCTATCCATAACTTTTTAAAAATTTGATAATTTGATAAGTCTTTCAAATTTACAGAGAGAGAGAGAGAGAGACGGAGGGAGGGAGGGAGGGAGGAAGGGAGAGGGAATTTTCACAGGAAGATAGATCCTAGAATCTAAAAACAAAACAAAACAAAACAAAAAAAAAACGGTTATCGGCTGGCTGCAGTGGCTCACACCTATAATTCCAGGATCTGGGAGGCTGACTCAGGAAAGATTTCTGTAAGCTGGAGATCAGCCTGGGCTACCAAGTGAGTACAAAGCCAGCCCCCACAAAAAACAAAAACAAACAAATGCCAGTTTGCTGCCCCTACATGCTAACTCATTGCAGAGCAAGCATTTTCTTCTCTCAGCTCCTTAATTCTGAGAAAACATGTTTTTACTGCATGGCTCATTTTTTGTTTTTTACTCAGCTACCTAGAATGTTTCTAACAGTAATAATGTAGTGTTAGACCCCCGGAAAACTCAGGTATCCGGGGTCCCAGGCCACGATCACCCCAATCACCAGGCAGATTCGAGAGCTTGCTGCAAACTGCATGAGGCTTTATTGTAATTTAACGAGCTAACCCCATGTTAGCTCGGGTCTTTTGTCCACCCACCATGGCGGTTGGCTACAAAAGACAGTTTGAACCGGCTGCCGAGAGATCCTGTAGGGCAGCGTAAGGGCAGTGTCTAGGGGGACGCACAGGCTCACGATTGGTGTGCCTCCAGCCTTGGAGGGCTTGCCCTGTGTTGATTGGTGAAGTGGTTACTATGGCCCCGAGGCCCTCCCAGGGTGGTTGCGATGCTCTGTGCATCATTGCTGTGTGCTTGTCCATAAAGTACACCCAGGGTCGTAAAGCATAGCGCCACCAGCTAACTTCTGATTGGTTCCTTAGTCTAGGGACTAAGACAAGGTTATAGCAAGCACGTGTTACTGTCATGGCTTCTAAAATGGGGAGCTGGTCCCTTCATTAGCATTGTCTTTCCTCTTGCACACACAAACCTGCACATAAAGCTCTCTTCCACTACCATGCAAAGACACAATCCCTTTTATGCCCATCCCTCTCTCATGGATGGGGTGTGGTCTCTGCTCAGTGAGTGCCACACACAGCAGAGCCGAGTGACAGCACACGGTTCCCATAGGTGCACACACTTCCCGCACAAACCCTCCTTTCCCTGGAGCTATTACTCCATTTACCTGCTTGCTTGTTTCTTTTTCTTTGTACCCTTTACTAATTCATCCCCACAGTCCCTACTTGAAGTATAAACATACTGATCATATTTTATCTTCCCATTTGCTAACAAAATAACCTCGGTGTATGTGGGGCATCCCCGCCCTCCACCTACAAGCAATAATAAGATTTAACGGCTGGCTCTAGCAAGCAGCTCTCCTCAAAGTCTTTGAACAGGTGTCATATAACATTAATTTACCAACCCTCAGCGAGTACCATCCATGCATGTGTTTCCTTAGTGCCAAGGGGAATGTTGCAGAGCACAGCCTACTTCCGGGCCCAGACTGAGACTAGCACAGAGAGAAGTGGGTGGGGAAAGAGGAGGAGACTTAGAGGAGAAAGAAGGAATATTTCGGCTCCCACCTGACAGGCTTCCTTCTCTTTGCTGTGATGGTCCCAGAAGTTGGTCACCACAAAGGCTCCATAGACCCCTTTTAAGGCCTCTTCCACAGATGCAGGGTCATCCAGGTCACATCTGACCACCTCAGCACCAAGGTCCTGAAACACTTGGGCCTTCTTCCCAGTCACGTCCCTGGTCAGTGCTCTCAGAGCAAAATGATTGTTCTCCAGAATGGCCCTGGCCACAGAGCCGCCCTGAGCCCCTGCAATGTCAGGAGAAGAAGCACACCATCAGAAAACCAAAACAAAGCTCACTAGGAGATTCCAGATGCACGTGGAGCTATTACTGAAGGACCCCTCCTGTGGAGGTACCACAGGGAACCCTAGGCATCCATGGCTTTCAAACTATCTAGGCCATAAGAGGGAGAACAGGAGAGGCTGGAGGAAAGGGTAGGCCACATGGTCCAGTGCAGACCCCCAATTAAACAAGGGCAAGTATACTATTTTGCAGACACAAATATTACGGGTTTTTAAAAAGGTTTTAGTTCCCACCTCTTGAATGATTCTCTCTCTCCAGTTATATATAATTTTATGTCTATTCATATTTTTCCAGTGCTGAGTAATTAACCCAGGGCTTCGCATATGCTTAGCAAATGCTTTCCTACTAAGCCATGTCTCCCCAAACTTAGTTATAGTTATAAAACATTTTGGAAACTTTCCTAAGTTTTTCTTTTCGCTGTTATTGTTTTGTCATCCATGGTCAATTGTAATAGGATCACCTAATCACCTAATTTGTGTTCTCTGAATATCGTAATATATGCCAGGTACTGTGCTGGGTTACTGCTAGAAATTGCAAACTCTTGGGTCTTACTTCTCTGCCTCACTCATGGGAGCTGTGAAATCATCTATACCTCCTTGCTCCCATTGGGATGTTTTTGGGAGACCCACTGACCATTCCTAATCAGCTATTGTTGCAGGACTACTAGCTGTTGGCCACAGAGCTGGAGGCTCAAGACTATCAAACATGTCCAGGTGCTGCTGGGGTGATGGGAAAGGATCAGGTGCTTTAAGCCCTAGGAAGTTGACTTGGATCCTCCTTGAACAGCATCTTGCCAGGTCCAGGTGGTACCTGATGGTTCTGAAGAGTCTGGACAGTGAGGTGAAACAGCCAGCTACTCCAGGACATGACCATCACCCCAGCTTTCCCAGGTCCCCCAAAGATAAACGATTCCCCCCAAGTCAGCAGGGAGTAGTTTCAAGAACATCTCCACCTCACCTACTGCCCCTTTAACACCTCATCTTTTTATAATCAATAAAAAGGGAGGCGTGTTAGTATTTGTTCTGGCCTGCCCTTGGCGTTCTAACAGGACATGCCCTCAGCTGTAGCCACTAAGAGCACCACCTGTGCCTGTTCGCTATGTTCCCTTTTAAAAGGGCCCTGCCCACCTCCCATCCTCCTCTCTTTTTCTCCCCGATCCCCTCTCTGTCCTCTCTCCCACTGCTCCTGTCCCTAGCGGCTGGTCTTCCCCATTCCTTTTCCCCTTTTTACGATCTCTTTCCCCTAATTAAAAAAAAAAAGAAAAAAGAAAAAAGCCCTCTGCTTGAACCCTGTTGCATGGCATCTTTCTCTGTTGAGCAGCTTTTCTTAAATTACAACAAGATTGGTGGTACATCAGATGGTTTCCATAAGAAGAGAATCTGAGAACAATTTTACAAAAGTCAGGCATGGTGGTGCTTGCCTATACCCCAGCATTTGGTAAGCTCAAGGCCAGACCCTTTTTTTGTCAAGGATGCTAGGAATACAGCAACTCATCCCAAGGATCAACAAATGAGATTACAAAATATTGCTGGGCAGTGATGGCGCATGCCTTTGATCCTAGCACTTGGAAGGCAAAGGCAGGTGAATCTCTATGATTTTGATGCCAGCCTGGTTTTGTTTTCATTGAGACAAAGTTTAATGTAACCCACGGTGTCCTTGACCCTCTGCCTCCCAAATGCTGGGATGTCCAAAGTGTATTATTATCGTAACACTCAACTTTCTTTCTTTCTTTCTTTCTTTCTTTCTTTCTTTCTTCCTTTTTTTTGTCTTTGTTTTAAAAAAGTTTAAAAAGAAAAAGAAAACAGGGGGCTGGAGAGATGGCTGGGAGATGGCTCAGAGGTTAAGAGCACCGACTGTTGTTCCAGAGGTCCTGAGTTCAATTCCCAGCAACCACATGGTGGCTTATGAGATCTGGTGCCCTCTTCTGGTGTGCAGATATACATGGAAGCAGAATGTTGTGTACATAATAAATAAATAAAATTTAAAAGAAAACAAAATGGCCTAAGGGGAGGACTAGGATTTCTTTTAAGAGTAATTTAACAACGGACAGCAGTGGCACACACTTTTGTTTTGTTTTGTTTTGTTTTGTTTGTTTTTCGAGACAGGCTTTCTCTGTGTAGCTTTGGAGCCTATCCTGGCACTCGCTCTGGAGACCAGGCTGGCCTCAAACTCACAGAGATCCGCTTGCCTCTGCCTCCGGAGTACTGGGATTAAAGGCGTTCGCCACCAACGCCTGGCATGGCACACACTTTTAATCCCAAAGGCAGGCACATCTCGGTGAGTTCCAGGCCAGCCTGGTCTACAGAGCCAGTTC